TTTTTTTTTTTTGCCTCGTCGCTCAGCGGGGATCGATTCACGCGAGGTACACCGCCCGGAGACGAACGATAGAACGACACAGGAGAGACGAGGAACGATCATAAAAGGTGGTGATGGGATACGCGATCCTGGCTGGCCGTACGGGCCCGAGGGGTGGGTGTACCGTGAAAAAGCGAAACGGGGTGGATGGGTGAAGGGGGCGGCTGCCACGGACCCCGCCCGGCCGTTCAAGATCAGCTTCAGGCCGAATGGAGTCCGGTGTGTCGAGAGAAGGACACGAGAGATGACAAGGGGGGGAATAAACAGCGGCGGGTGAAGATTAAAGAAACACGAGAAACGACGAGCGATGATGAATGAGGCACTACTAGAACTGCTCCTGTCCGTGTTCCCATTTCCCTGGTCCGTGACCGGTCCCCGTGTCGCCACGACGTCGATACCTCGGACATACGGACGTTCGATCGTCCGTCCCTCCGGAGGGATCATCGTCGCGACGTTGATCAACGTGTGATAAACGCTCGAGATCGGTATACGGGACTCAGACCAAGGGAAACCATGGAACCGGCAACAGCGTTTGTTGTTCTTCATCCGACGGCGATGATGAGTGTTCTTCTTGCACGGGCTAAGGCGAACTCAATGATGCGGCGGTGGCGGCGGCGGGGCCTCTTCCTCGGAGGGATCCACGGGACTCGGGGACAGGAACTTGCGCACATACTTCGGATAATGTGTCTTTTCGTGGGCCTTCAGTATCGTCGACCTCGAGAACGTCTTGCCGCACAACGTGCATCGGAACGGTCGTTCCCCTGTGTGCACCCGACAATGGTCCTTCATGTGATGGCGCAGCTTGAACGCTTTGCCGCAGAACTCGCACTTGAACGGCCGGTCGCCTGTATGAGCCGGCAGATGGGCGATCAACGAGCCGACGTCCGGGAACGATTTGCCGCAGAACTTGCAGAGTACGACGCCGGAGGTCGGGTCCGAGTGGGCCGCGAGCTCCAGGTCCATCGGCTCGATTGGACCCGCTGTGGGGTAGTGGGCCTCCGGCGGCAGGTGTATACCGGGCTCGAGGCCCAGCTGAGCCTGCAGCTGCAGGTGGGCCGCCTGCTCACGGTACTTGAGCGACTCGAGGCTGTGCGATAGGATGTGCCGCGCCAGCTTGCTCTGGTGGAGGAACGGGGCACCGCAGTACATGCACGCAAACACCCGCTCATCCACACCCATCAACTCCTGCAACCAAACAAACAAGAACATCAACTTCTTGTCTTCCCTTTAGCTCGTCCTTACACCCTCGCAATAATGTCTCGCTCTCTTTCTCTCTCTCTCTCTCTCTCTCTCTCTCTCATTCTCTCGCTCTCCCTCCATCTCTCGCTCTCTTTCTCTTATGATTTCTCTATCTTTTCCGTTTAAAATCTATCTGTATATCTAGTCATCTATCTATCTATTGCTTTGCCTTTTTTGTGTACGTATGTATATATTATGTATATACTTTTTTTCTCTCGTGAAGTGCGTTTACTGTTTTCAAGTGATCGTTTCAAGCAGAAAAGAGATTCTACCTTTCTCTTTCGTCTCTTAGGGATATGTAGTACGCGTACGGTGCGATACGATTTCGCTACTCAGCCGCGTGAAATCGTTCCATGCTACTCGACGTACACCGGTACAGAGATACATTGTGTGTATTGTATATGTGGTGTGTACGAGCCACGCGACACGCCAATGTGTTTCGATCAACGCTTCTTACACGGAAGAAAGGGTGTCTCTATATTCCTCGCATTAGCTTTTTGGCTCACTGATTTTTGCTACTATTCTTTTCTCTGTCTGTCTTCTTGTCTCTGTCTCTCTATCTATCGCCCGTTATGTAACTCGTCGATTAAAGGGACGCGGTTTTTCAGACATGACCGGGTACATCACGGCGCATATACTATGTGGTTCTTTCTCTCTTTTTCTCTCTCTCTCTCACAAACACGCTCTCTCTCTCTCTCTCTCTCTCTCTCTCTTTCTTCCTCTGACTCGTGAGCTCGTCTCGTTATCGGTTGGAAAAATAAGAAATCCCTGGTCTGACGAGAAAGTGATACTCTCCTCTCGACGGCATGACAAGACGGTAGCACAAGAAGTTGACGCTCATTTTTGTTTGGCACGACGCGCACCCCAGGTTTAGAAACATGTATGACAAGGAGATTTGTCTGAGTGTGTGTTCATCGTATGTATATATATGTATATATACACACGTACAAGGTTTCGTTTATACGTGTCTATATATAATATTATACATATTATATGTAATCGGTTTGGATAACGAGTGACACATGTACGGGTCCACGACAACCCCCACAGCCTCGCTCAAGAACAACAACCCACCCGCACCCTCGTCCCTCCTCCCCTTTTATTGATTTTTTGTTGTTTTTTTCTGTTATGCGTATTCTTTTTTGTATGTATTTCTTTCATTTTCTATTTTTTTTTTTTTTTTTTTTTTTTTTTTTTTTTTTTTTTTTTTTTTTTTTTTTTTTTTTTTTTTTTTTTTTTTATATGGTATATGTATATATACGTACGATAACGGTGGCCGAGATCGCCGCGGTGCAAAAAATTGATTCGCCGATAGCAAAAGGCATTGCAACCAACCAAAGAAAACGACAAAATCGAAATACAAATATTACAAAGTAACAAATGGTAATAATGAATGTCAATATAATCTGCAATATGTATAACGATAGGTATATATATATGTTTATATATATGTATGTCAGGTATGAGTATATATATATAAATACATATATGTATATATGTGATTGTATATTACCACCAGTACACGTATATGACGATATGTATGCATATCGTATGTATATGTATATACGTGTGTACGGGGCGAGCCACTTGATATTAGAATCGAAAATATTCTTTGATGTTCTGGATATTTTCTTTGCCATCGGGAAAGACATTCTTGTTTTAGGAGAGTTGCTAATAGTACCGAAAAGTATTTACCACTCTGAGTTATATGAATTTTTCTGAATACAGGAAAATAAATTTTAACAGTATGCTTTGACCTTCAGATGTACTCTTCTTCGTAGATCATAATTTAATTGGTTGAAGGATATTCTAGGTATCACAGTTTATATTGCTAAAGTTATTATCGAAAAGTGAAACTAAATACAACTTCGTTCCTATTGTTGAATATAGTCTACTTGTATAAAACGTTAACGATAACACACGATTAAAGAAAGTGTGGTTCAACAATGACTGTATTTATTGAAAACATTTTTAAAAGGGAGTAATTACTCTTATTACCTCAACAAAGTGCAACTTCATTACTACCTATACATCTTTAAAGAAGAGCTAGTAAACAAATTTTTTCTGAAGTTAATTCTGAAGGTCAATTGTATTATATTTGGCTGAATTTCTCAATTTACACGAATTGTTCAATCTACCATAAAACGATTGAAAGTCTCTATGCATAGGAAATCATTATTTCCCCTTAATTCCCCACACATTAACCACGAATTAAATTGCACACATACAAAGCATGTGGTTCAAATGAAAAAATTATTTTTCCCATGTACAAAGACTTATCAACGCAACATTGTAATGACAAAAACTCTCCGTTTCATTGAAAGAAAGAAGACTGAATTTCAGAGGAACCATTTTTCGCTCCAAAATAACCTTCTTCGACACAATACTCTACTCTTTCCCGTGGACATTCACAAGAACAAAGTCACATACGATTCCATTGTCACGTGACTCGCCCGGCATACATACATATTCATATATACACACATGTATTTACGTATTTATATATATATATATAAAAATGTAGTAAAAAACAACCATGGCCAAAAACGAAGGTCAACTTCTTGACAGTGAGCTAGCAAGACAGGCTGGCAGGGATTGGGATGAACGGGATCATTGTAGTCCGCCGGTTCTTTCCGTCGATCGCTCGAACGGTCAAGGGTTCAAGGAAGAACGAGTTGGACAGCCGGTGTTCGGAAGCATCGTCACGGATCACGAATCGTCAACGCGACTCATCTTAGCCCCTCGAAGCACCAGGACGTGATCGGGGACAGGATAGAGGATGCACAGTTTCAAGGGAAAAATAGTTCCAGAGACGCGAGCGCCATCTCCGAGGTTGTCAAAGATGGCGCCGCCTCTGAACGAAAGGTAGCAGAGGAGAAAGATCGGATGGACTGTGTCGTCGAGGGGATCGAGCGAGTAAACACGGAGACGTGGATCGAGAGAACGAGAGAGGAGAGTCGCGTGTATTATCGAGTAAAAAGGGCGCAGAGAAAGGGCGGGAACAAGAGGACGAAGAAGAAGAAATAGAGAGACAGACAAAAGAGAGGATTTATGAACGGACGCATGGAGATGTGAGTTAGTTCGGAAAAAGAAGATAACACGTTCGTTAAAGTAGACGGCATGCACAATCGATCTCCTGCGCAGCGCGTCTCGACGAGGATCCGAGCCGCTGAAGCTAGATCGGCAAGCTGCTGGGTGGAATTTACAGTTCTCTTTCCCGATCAGAGTCTTTCGTTCCTTGCACGCGTCGATTCCAGAAAGAATATATATATATATATTTTTTTTTGTTTCACAAGCGAAAAGTCGTATTTATTAATATCGGCGAATTTCGTCACGGTCGCATTAACTCTATCCTTGATCGAGGCTAGCACCGCGACGAATCGTCTACGGTAAACGAGTCAATTCTACCGCTTCAAGAGGGGGGGGGGGACGTGTATGTATGTATCTCTCTTGTCATCGAACCTTCCGATCGACACTTCACACTCTCGATTTAGGACGACTGGCTGAGTCTGTTAATGATACGATCACTTTCAAAAATTAGCGGGGAGAGCAGCAAACAGCAAAGCACTTGGGCACGCATGCAATAGACCCACATGCAAGTGAACTCGAAATAGTTATAACGTATGCCTGTCTATCTATTAAGCGCAATGGGATAGATAGACAAGCAAAGTAGATAGATATAAATAGATAGATAGATAAAATTGGATCGTGTGTTCCGACGGTCCGATCTAGACCTCCGATCGAGAGGTCGTTTCCTTGATCGTTGGTCACGGACAGGCGTGGCTCCGTTCAGGTGAACGAGCGCCGCGTCAACGAACGATTCGTCGTAGCCTTGCGCAAGAATCGCGGAGAATTCGAAATCGAACGATTTCCGCAGGCTCGTTTTATTACCGGTCATCCCGTACGTCGGCTCATCCGTAATCCGTGGTATATGCCGGTGTGTACTATGCGTTGCTGAGAAGATGTCTAGGGGGACTTACACAAAGGCACGAAGGGTATTTGACTATAGATGCTGAAGTCTGCCTGTGGACGCTCTCGCTGGTCAATGGTTAACATTCTAAGAGGGCACGGTATCACTTTGAAGTTCGTCAGATTGCTCCCGTTAGAGGTGTTCCACTTGGTCTAGAGGTGTCCTGTTCACTGTCTTCGTTACGTGATGCTATATGATCCGATTGTGTGTGTCACTGTTTCGGTCAATAATGGAAATACATGTGCACTGTCTCCACGATTGTATCAGAGAAGGTGGGCCAATGGGGACATAACCAATCGGATTCGCTTGGTATCTTCTGAGCAACGCATAGTACATATGGCGATCGCGGATGAATCGAACGCGAGGCTACTAGCACACCGACGTTTAAACGTAAATATGTAGTCCGTGGATATTTCGCTGCTCGCACTTCGCTCTTCGGTCGACCTCTCCCAGTCCATCTCTTTTTTTAACGACTGGAAACGAACATCGGGCTCACGTCAAAGTAGTAATTGGATTAACCGTTGACGATAGGTGGAGGAAAATGTAAATTTTCTCCGTATGTTGTGGAAATCGTTAGAGACTCTTGTTGAAGTTTGGATGAGATTATGGCGATTGATGATTTTACGAGAAGCATGGTATTGCCTTGAAAATATTAAATATCCTGATCTTGGAGAGCTTAAACAATCTTTTGCGTGTTGTCCACTTGAAAAGTCAAGTTTACGTTTTCTTAATCGAGTGATTAAACATTTTTTGGATAATAGTATACACATCTGTAGGAAAAATCTATGTCATTGTGAATATAATTGTTTTTATTTTGCAAATAAGATATCGTAGTTCGATTCTTTTTTGTTTTACCGACAGAGTGCTGTAAAAGCTTTTTCGAGAATAACATCCTACCATTTTTGGTGGAATTCTTGAGAACACGTAGGTTGACTCTAACATAGTAACGGGACTCCAAAAAAATGAATACAATGTATCTGTAAATATTATCTTGAAGTTATGATAGAAAATCGATACTAAATAAAATATTTTTTAGCAATTACTTTAAAACGAAATATATTAATATCAATAAGATTTTCTTCTTATTTTTGCTCAATGTACATAAATTCCTATATTTGTTAGGTTCATATATAAACAATTCCTTAGGAATCTTTTATAAAATTGAAATTGATATTTACAGTATAAATTTTTTTTTAAAATATATTTGATGTTATTAGTAAATGTATTTTTAAAATAGAATCAATACGGAGTATGAGCCATTTGTGGCTTACCATAAATTTACCATAACCAGAAATGTAAAACAAAGGACTAGGCTCAAGATAAATTAAAAAGAAATATTCCAACTTTTCATGAAATCGCATGCACAATGTCGTTGTATGGTTGAAAGCTACGAAAATATGATTGCATACAATAAAAGTGGGCATGGAAAGTGTATTTAAAAATTAGTATTTAGGATACCAGTGTGAGCGTCAGAGTGAGCAACTGGTGGCCGTGAGTGTACTTGCACCTGTGTGGGAGGCTGTGAAAGTGGAGTTTAGAGCGAGAATTCCGAGGGAAAAGCGAACAGAACAAACATCGAGAGTTTAAAGCGTCTAGACACAATTATTATGGAAAAAGATCAAAAACAGAAAATTGTTACGTGTATATTTAAGTGGTGTTTATGAATGGCACACTGTAACTAAAACTGTTTCTCTGCACTCACTTTTAAATAGTTACAAATATTAAGTACTGAAAAAGTTTTGTGCAGTTGCTTGTTCACGGAAAATTCAAAATTCATTTTTATTACCACGTAATAAACAATATCGATATTAGTGCAATATTTACTCTACCTAGTTTCTTTGTGGTATTTTTAGTTTTCATCTGTGTCGATGTTAGTCCACAATTAAATATAGTTAGTGAGGAAAGACGTAAAAATTGGTATTTTCTCATTTTATAAAATAATAAATCTTTCTTTTTAATCTACACCTCTATTTATGCAATCACGATTTATTTGTAGATTCAATATCGAAATATATGGTAAACAAGCCTTTATGAAAATTGTTCTACGCTATTGAATATGATAGGAATAATTATGGTTTAATACCGCATGTTGTTCGGTACCTAATATGAGAATTACTTGTATGAAATAAATGTAATATAGGATTACAAAACTTTTTTTCTCATGCTTCGATGATCTTGCTGTAAAATTTAAAATACATAGTTAAGAATCACAAACCAAATTTAAAATGTAAAATTCATAATTTTTAATACGACAGTTTATTTTGTTTCTGTAAATTCTACTCGGTTAAGTAAAGTTTTGGGTTAGTCGTTTTTCTTAGTTAAATAGCAGCAATCAATTTAGATGCGTAAATTACTACATGAAAGCCATATTTTATATCTCTTATTCAGTGCAGAGTACCGAGGATAATGTTTGTTTACTCCGATTAGTATAGTTCAGTTAAAACTGTTAAGAACATCTAACTATGTCTGATTAGTAGACGATTCCGATACTTTGTGATCGATATAGCTAAAGTAAACGTTAGAAAATAGCTAAAGTCTACATTATTAGAGTTATACAGTACTATTTCCTGATTTTTCTATAAAATACACATTTTGCGAAAAATATCTTTTTCGTTACATCTCTACAATACGTAAAAATAACGTAAAAACTTTCAGAAGATAACAATTCTACAAATAACACCACCATATATCAAATATGAAATAAAAATACAATTAAACAAAAGCAGCTAGCAGATTAAACAAACCGTGATATTCGTTATAAATATGAGAGCAACTAACTAGGCATTTACTTCAACTCATCAGTAGATGCAGATGTTTATGCATTTATAGCATCTCTTAACTTGAAAAATACAGTAACATAATGGTTTTGATAAATTTTAATACTATTTATATGTTATTATTAACGTAGTGAAGCTTCTAGCACAGAATCAGTATTTTGCTCCATGTGAATTTTTAGGTATAGTATCGGAAACTGTGATTTTGCATAAACTTTCACAGTCCACTCATCAGTAGACTCAGGAAATATCGATACACCGAATTACAACAGTTTTAACTGTAACAGACTAATTCTGAAAAATCTCATGAATTTCATGTGTATTATACATCCATGGATCACATAGATCGCCATGAATGTTATGAACTGGTGCATCAAAAAGTAATCCACTATTTTGTATTAATGAAGTGAATTTAATTTCACGAATATAAAGTATCAAGTTGGCAGTACATAGTGGATTATTTATTTGTACAATAAGTCAAGTACAGGGTGTGCCAGGTGACGAAGGCCACCTAAATACTTCCTTTCCTTTTATTTGCATTCGAAATGTTTGAAGCACAATTTGAAATATCTCGAAAGAGGAATGCCATGGAAGGAAAGAAAAATTGTTTCCGTGTTTTCTCAAGGTCATCGATATTTTTTTACAGCGAAGGATATATTTTTTTCTATCGTATCTGGTAGTAAATGAAAATTCCATTCGAGCATGCCCGAGTTATGACCTTCAGATGACCTTGAACGCCAAAAAAGTGATTAAATTCTAAGGTATCACTTTGAGCTGTTGTAAGTTCACTTTCTTTGTGTTTAAGATTATCTGACGGGCATAACTCACGTATTTTCGAGTGCATTTTTTCATCTACGACAAGATACAAAAGAAAAAATATATTCTTTTCTGCTGGAAAATACAGACCTTGATACAACGGAAGAAATAAACTTAAAAACATTTTTGTTTCTTCCATGACAGTCCTTTTTCGAAACCATTCAAATTGTGTTGTAAACATTTCTCACATCGTTAATCCCTTGCCTCGATATTTTCTTGACGTATGCAGTCTCCAAAATTGTTTTATTGTTAATACTTTTCCACGAACAGAAGGAATACTATAGTTATCACAAGTGTACATTTACCCCAAAAGTTATATGTTAATACCAACAAAATAGTATTTCACTTCGATTCAGAGAAAACGAATAATATTCACGTTTATTGAATCCACTTTGAAATGGTCACCACGAGTCTGACTCGATGTTATAAGGCAAGGGGTTAAGAAGAACGGGGATCAGTTGTGGCACCGTGTACAGTGGACGATCAAATTATTATGAACAGATGGAGAAATGACACATTTTATGTTTTCGTAATTATTATGACTTCAAGTATACCCTTTCTTTTTTCTTAACACATAGGTACACAATTTAACTACACTTTCATATGTTCGCAACAGTATTTTGCTTAATCAATACACAGCAAGATGCAGTCTTGCAAAAAACTACTAATTTCTGTTACCGTTGACAATTCGCAAGTATGACTTGTTACTGCCGATTTCTGTGTTTCCTTCCGTTGATAGTTCTTTACTCTAACACTGTTAAACTGTATTATGTCAAGAAAATATTGAAAGTATGCCGCGACGAATTCAAGCAATAACAAATGCGAAATGTGACGTGACGACATATTGTAAAATCGTTGCCGTATGTCACTAAAAACATAACAATATATTTTCTAATAAAGAAGGTACTATTATAAATGTATTTTGAATTCCATTCATGATCAAAATTCACATTAGCAACAATATCTAAGTGTTCATAAGAATTTGATTAACCACTGTGTATTAGAAGCGATAAGAATAAATGAATATAGATACTCACAAGTGGAACTTGCTGGACCGGAGGTAACCCCGACGGGCCCGCGAGAGGTTCTGTACTGTGCGGGGACGGAAGCCGGCTCTGCGGTAGGTTCAACGGTAGCACACCGGGCGTGCCACCGGTGTTGTTGCTCAGACTCATGTCCGACGGTCCGCTGTGCACCGAGATTGGACTGAGGGAGCCCCTCGTTTCCTCTAGGCTGGCAGCGTCTTCGGAGTCTCGCCTTGGTCGATCGAGGGCCAACGGTCCTGGACAGGGGCTACCGGGTCCGGTGGGGGACGGCGGACACTCCGTCATGTCTACCGCCTCGGTGGACTCGGTGGTGGGCGGTTGGGCCAGGTTCGGTTGCGTTTGGTCGCATTCTTTGCCACTCGATGGTGGCGCACCAACCGTACCACCACCACCACCACCACCACCGGACGTGTTACCATCCCTGTCTCTTTCTTTATTGCTCGCTTCCTTTATACTCTCGCGTTCCCGATGATGCTCTCGCGACGTCTCACGTTGTATACCCTCGGATGTGCTTGTGTGTTGTTGCTGTTGTTGTTGCTGCTGTTGTTGTTGCGATTGCTGTTGCTGCTGTTGTTGTTGTTGCTGCTGCGGCTGTTGTTGCTCGTCCCTCGACGCTACCGCCGCGTTGATGTTCGTCATGTCCGCTAGACCCTTCACCTTAAGGCTCTCCGCTGTCTTAAGGAGGGCCGATAGCTGGCAGTACTCGACGTTTACCTCGCCTTTGTACATGAAGTCGACGAGGGTACGTAGCTCGGCGAAACGTACGTCCTTTAGGATGACTATGGGGTGGCGGTTCGGGTGGTCGAGGAACAGGGCCTGGAAGTAGCTGGAGCACGCGGAGAGGACAACCTTGTGGGCACGTATCGAGGGTCCCTCCGTGCACGCCAGTGTCACGTCCACCAGCGACTCCGACTCCAGCAGTTGACTGAACACACCCAGCAAGTTGCTCTGATGATTGTTCCACCTCAGGCAGTAATGCTCACTTCCCATGTCTGAACTGCACCCCGCAACCCTGCTGCAGAAGAAACATTTGTACCCGTCCGTGTTTATATTCCTCGTCGCTGTTGTCGTTCGCGTCGGGCGCGTTCTTTCTTTTCGTTCTTTTATTTTTTTTTTTCTCTCGTCGTCATATTTCCGTTCTCTCCGTTCTCGGTTTCGTTCCCCCGTTTTTTTTTCGTTTTGTTTTTAATTCGTCGCTCTTGCGCTCGTACGTCGAGGCTGCTCGCTGCTTCGTCGTTGATGTTACCCCGGTGTCGGTCGGGTTGTACGACATACGGGGTTTTTAATAGTCGGCGGATCGTCTGTGTACGCGGTTTAGAAAGAGGTTCCTGCTAATCGGAGGATCGAGGGAGAAGCGAACTTGGCGAACGGTGGAAGTTTCAGTAACTGAGGCAATTGTGCTGTGTGTTTACTAAGGCGAGTAAGATTTGGTTTTCACTCTGTGTCTAACGGTTGTAATTCACGTATCAAGTATTGATAGTCAGATTATAATTTTAGTTGTGGAATTTTTGATACCCAATGGTATTTTTATTGTTTTATTATTTGATGATTGATATTGATTTGATTATTGACTAAATTTATTATTTGATGTGATGTGCCAGGTAACACGATAACACAGTGTCTGTGTCTGTATGAATAATTAATTGTTTGTTATATGTTTAAGTATTAATTATAATATTCGAATATATTGTTTCATATACTGTTAATTATAATTGAATGTCCACAAAGGCTACAAGTGAAACGGATTATAATTAAACAATTTTTATAAAAGACAGTGTTGCTGTCATATTGATTAATTATGACCAAATTTTTATTTGAAATAGTTATTGCAAAACTATCTATCCAATGTTAGTCCGAAGAGTTTGTTTAATTCAATATTGAGTTGTGTACATTATGCACAAATAAAATACAAAAAAGTACTTTTCGGATAAGAGCAATAGAATAAGTTATAAATTTTATGTAGGATTCTGGACGACTACTTTATAGAATTCTATATGTATAAAGTGTCTCGGGTTGGGTAGTAAAACCGGGCAGGAGGTGATTCTATAAGAAAATATAAGTCGAAAGAAAGAATGAATTTCTTTCGTTTGATGTTTCGTTTTCGAGAAAATAGCGTTTGACAATTCATCTAGAAAGCATGTATTCGTGCTGGCAATAAGTAGAAACGGTTTGCAATGAACAGACACGTTAGCCAAGTCCTATTCTATTGTTTGTGTATCCAATACATTTTTTCAATTTATTTTTTCTTATAAAATCACCTCCTGCCTGGTTTCACTACCCGACCTGAGAAACCCTATACAAAATTTATAAAGTAGTAAATACATTAATTAAATCCACAGAATATTCTTGTCAGCCTATGAACAGACAAAAGCTTTAAAATTCTAGCTCTAAAAATTTCATTCTAATCCAACATTTCAGAGTTATTAAATCATACACTTTACAAAATTGTATGGGTAGATTCAATCCAATAAACGTAAAACCCTACAAATGACAAATACACACACGAAACTGTCGTCCCACAATCTATCTCGTTATAAATTTTACAAACTATAACAATCACATTATGGTCATTAGCTGGTCACATATTTTCCAATGAAAAATTATAAATTATAAAAATATATAATCGAGTAAAATTACACGACGACGCCTAATCGCGTGGCAAGTCCGCTCGGGCACGCACGCACGCATAAATTAACCGGCCAGTATTTTTCCGTGAACGTTTCACCCGTGGCCCCGGCATCGGCCGACCGGTGAGGAAGAGAACACGGAACCAAGGATGTCTAAATTGGAATTCCTTGTCCCGCCGAATAGAAAACCGTACGTGGGACCCTAACGCAGTCGCTATCGGAGTTTCCACCGGCGTAAATCACCGTCCGCGGAAGCGTGAAGCCGCCGCGTCGCGTCGTTCGGCTGAGCGTGCCTCGCGATTTATTCGACGCTTCGCGCATGCCGCGTTAAGAATCGCGCGGCTACGACTGGGGTCGTCGTTTAATCCCGGCCTGGGAATACGCGCGGATAGCGATGAAATCAAGTCAAATGTTAAGGGGTATCTCTACTGTGACGGGTCAAAAAAATAGATTTTTTCTTGTTTCCATTTTCTCGAGGCTTAATATTTCGAAACTATAATCCCAAAAGGATTTCGCCTGATTCGAAATAATAAGGATGTTATTAGCCTTTAACCGAAGCGGCGCGTCGCGGCAACATTTGATCCAGTGAATTATATTTTTGGTAGTAAAATAATTTTCCCAATATTCTACGCAATATTATATTTATAATTTTTATTACAATTATAATTTAGTATTAGTTAGTATATTTCCCTGAACAAATCTTTCTCTATCCCTGGAAGATATTAAATTTTAAGTAACAAGTATCTTGACAAATGAAGATGCATATTTTTAGTGTCAAAATATCTGTGAAATAAAACCTGAGTAGAATGAGTCGCAGTTCTGTTTAGAACTAAAAAGACGGTGATTTTAGAATCCAAATGTAATAGAAAATACAGTAAAATTTTTTCACATACAGTTTTATTACAAGAAAGGAAGTTGGATTTCAAAATCTATGATGCACTTCTCACATTTCTTTACCATCTCCCTTTCGCATTTTTTCTTTAGTGTTTGTTTCTAATTTTACTAATGCTAATGAAGAATGTGTGAAATGCTTTTCACAATATTTTATTATATGTTGGTATAATTATTTGATCAGTGCAAAACAGACAATACTGTATCACAACGACAGCCCTCAATATAAGTAGAAACAGATAGTAATAGACAGACAAACATCACCCATTAAATCTTTACATTTCATTTTCCCTAAAATAAAAGTGCTATTGTCAATTCTCAATTCTCCATTCTCAATTATCAATTCCCAATTAATTATTAATTCACTTTCTCATACAACACCACCCTTCTTTTTTGTTGTACTCTGCACACGGCCAATCCTTAAGGGGGAGCCTGGTGTAAACAGCTGAAATTACTGAATTTTTGGGAATTTGTTGTGAAGGAATTATTAAATCAATTTTTTTGAAACTTTGAGAATACTCTATTGTACAACTGAACTAAATACAAAAATGTTTATTTTCACGACAAATTCATAAATATTATTGTACTAAGGACTTATACAACTAAAAAAATATTCAACCAACTGTCCCACCCTTGCATATACATATTCTTTAACATCTGCTTCACAGCATGAACCTATTTCGAAGTTAAATAATGCAAAATTGACAAAACTATGACATTTAAAAAAAACAGGTAACTTTTTTTATGTAAAGAATGCTACAAAATATCATTTACTGAAACAATAGAATTATAAATGTAGGTTCATGTTGTACAGAAGGTGTTAAAGAATACGTACACGCGATGCCGAATCACTTGGTTGAATATTCTTTAAGGTCCATTCCCCTGGGTAGTCCTTACAACTATAATATTTATGGATTTGTGTGGAAAATAAATATTTTTCTATTCGGCTAAATTATACAATAAAGTATTCTCAAAGTTTCAAAAGAATTGCTTTAATACTTTCTTCGCAACAAATTTCCAAAAATTCGTTCCTTTTTAACACGTTTAACCATCCTTTAAGTCCGTACAACTATAATATTTATGGATTTGTCCGGAAAAATAAACATTATTCTATCGAGGTAAATTATACAACAAAGTATTCTCAAAGTTTCAAAGGGATTTCTTTAATACTTTCTTCACAACAAATTCCCAAAAATTCGTTCCTTCTTAACCCATTTAACCATCCTTTCTAACCATTTATCGAATGCCACCTCAGATACGCTTGGTCCCATCGCTACAAACGCAAGTGTACAGAGACACATGGCCGACATCGGCCGACGGTACCGTCGCTTATCTGTCCACCTGTATTTATTGCCGCGTCCATGATGCGTGAACGGTGTGCACGCACGTGTCGCGGCCATGTGCGGCCGCGGCGACACACGTGTAACTACACACGTAATTGCCCAGGTCGCGGGAAGCCAGCTCGCGTGATCCGACCGCGGATCCGCGCGAGATCCTCGCGTGATCCGCTCCACGGCCCTGTGATAACGCACCCCGGTGCGTGATAACACGGCACGTATCGTAAAAAAGAAAGAGAATAACAGACTTTTTTTGCTACGTGGACCAAATTACCGTGGGATTATTAGCCCTTAACACATCGACTAGCCACAATTTCTTACTACTAGGTCTTGACATCGTGACGAAATGTGTCTGTTTCAGTTTTTGCCGTTGAGTGTAACGGTTTATTTATTTATTTATTTATTTTTTATGATTTGTTTGATGTGGTCGCATTAACTGTAAAATCATTAGCGACCACTTGTCTTACGAAGATAACACAAATAGACAATAACATGTAACTACAGTTCGTCGAGTAGGCCAATGGAAATATTCATTTGTGCACGCCTCGTTTGAATCATTGTTCTATTACTGGTTATATTATGGATAGCAAGACTAAAGGTTCGCTAAATTTCCATCGGAAAAAATTCCACATTTTTCATTCGAACTAAAATAAAAGGAGGAAAAATCGTACATTAACTTTTAAGGAGTTACTGTAAAGGGGGGCTTTAATCTTCGAATCGTAGTGATTGGAGCAGTAAAAAAAATTGTTTAGACTCCGTAAGGTCGTTTGATTTTGTACAATTGTCGAGAGAAAAAACATGTTTAGTTTAAATTCAATATATTTCCTCCCCTGTGTTTGATAGAAATGGTATATTGTATTAGAGAATAATTGCGAATATTAATGAATAAGCACAAATTTTCATTCTTTTTTTAGAAGTATTACCGTGCCTGGTAAAAAAAAGAATATATTCTATATTAATATACCTAAGAAAACACGCTAACGATGACATGGTATCAACTGACTTCTATTATTTTCTGCCCGACAATTTATACTCAATTATCATAGAAAATAAATAATTTAAATCTAATTTTGTATCTATTATTTGTAGAAATAATAGCGATTTATATCTAATTTTTATGGAAAGTAAGTAATTTGACCCCAATTTATATTTATTATTTATAGTAATAATAACAATTTATATCTAGTTATTATGGAAAATAAGTAGAAATGATCAGTAATAGTTAGGCACCTAAAGTAGTACTTGAAAGCACATATGTCCCATGAATTTTCTATTTCAAATTCCAGGTTTTGTATAATTTATTATTACCCTGTTATTAACTTCATTAATATATGTTACATTATTGGATTACAGTTGGACGAGTTCGAGAAAATTAATCTATCAGGTTAGCATTAATTAGTCGTCTTTTTTTACCAGGTTTAAGTTAGAAGAATCTTGTCACTCATTTTAATGGAGTAATGCATCGCAAATAATTTCACCGTGCCCTAACAAGTACCCTGGTGCAACGATCAAGTGTTCTTCCTGAATTGTGTCAAAATCTGGGCGGCGAAACCTCCAACCGGAATATTCTTCGCGTGCACGTGAAACTTCTGCGTTTTAATTAGAAGTTGCAGCTAAAGTTGCATTCGTGTAGTGTACTTCACGAACTTCGCTCGAGGTCCGACTACACGCGTTCAA